TTCTAGCACTGACTTCAGTTCCCTCTCTCTGTGCCCCCTATGGACAATGCCCTCTTACAAGGATTTCTTCTCACTCTTAAGACATAGCCTCTCTAGTCCCTGTATTAATGACAAAGTGCATAAAAGTTGCTGAAACCTTATTCTTAATTTCTGTACTCATACTATCAAAAACCGGCAACAGACCACACTGAGCAGCTCCAGCCCAGAGGTGTAAACACTGAGGCATTTGTGGAAATGTAAATCTCTCACGTTCTCCTAACTCTTCCACGGCTCTCCACTGCCTACCTGCAGGGTTAAATCCAGGTTCTTCAGCAGGCCCCAAGCCCTTTGTGCCCCACTTGAGGAATCTGTGATGCAACTGCCCTCTTTCGTGCCCTTGTGATTACACACAAGCTCGTCCCTCTGCCAGGAGCTCCCTGCTCCCTGAGAAACCAGCTGGCAAAGCAGCCCCACCTTTCCTGTTTTACAGTTAACACCTTGCACACATTGCAGTTGTTCCATGTATCACTTTACTGTTTCTTCCCCAAGTCTGACTCCCCTAAGAGGCAGTGGGATCCTTGAAATCAAGGGGCAACAGTCAGTACACTCCCTGGCACCAGAGAAGTTTTCCTTAAATGTTGACAAGCTGGTGGCCCCACTAGTCAACAGGTCAAACAACTTAACCATCCCTCCTACCACCTGGCTTAAAAACTACCCCTAAATCCCTACATCCACACAGCTGCCCTGTCCCTGTGAAAACTTTGCCATCCCTGACACCTCATGCCCAAGGCTAACTTGCAACAATGTTCCTTCCAATGTTGGTCTTCTGTTTCAGGAAGATTTCATGCTTCTCAAAGTCCTCACTGACTCCCTATTAAATAAGGTCCAATGACCCTGGCCTGGCATTTTGGTACCCCAGGCTTCATCTTTCACAACGGCACCTGGACACTTTTTACCATGACACTCCGTGTTTTCTGGGCTTCTGCTCCACAATCACCTCTGTCTGGAAGGTCAGGTACCTGGAATATTCCTGGCTCTTCAAAGGCCAGCTGAAGTGCTGCTTCCTACAACAAATTTTCCCTTTAACAAAACTGGTACAGAGTCAGTGCCTGTTTTTCAACCTCCAATGGGCATGATCACTGTCTACCAGTAGCTTCCATTTCACCTCTCTGCAGTCAATGAAGGCCCACCTAACTAAGCTCCACATTCTCCTCTACTCTAGTATTTGCAAAAATTAACATTTTAAAGGCAAAGCGCAAGTAACTACTTAGTGGGACACAAGACAGTTCACCTCATCTTATTTTGAGCAGAGACACTGTAGTTTAACAACTCTTCTTTACTCTAAATCTTCCTTCCTCTGAATCTGCTTCTCTTCCACAGCCTAACTTAAAATATTGTAGATGATGAATCAAATTTGCTTTCCTGTTCTTCGTTTTTAAAATCAAGTTAATGGTTTTCTCCTCCTTCAAGAAAGTAAAACAAACTCCAAAAAAAATTCAGAACAAAAACGCCCTGATTGTGGCATTCAACTCTTACCCATGAGTCTCAAAGGGAGAAAAAAAAGAATTTCTTACAAGTGGGAGGGTTGACTTATGAGTAATACACATCACAAAGATCAACAAGCAGGAACACATACTAGCAAGAAACTGTAAGACACACCTTTCCCAAACAGCTTGGCTAAACTACGTGGCAAGGACAGCCAAAACAACTGGCATTGGGAAGGTCTGGCAGGACCAGCAGGGGTTTTCTGTAGAGCAAAGGAGGCATTCTCCATGCTTTCGATGAGTCTTGAGCAAAAGCAGAACCTGGAGCAGGCAGAATACACAGCAAAGGCAGAAACTACTACAGTGGAGGTTTAAGCTGAGAGGTGCTAAAACAGAACATCAGAGAGATAAACTGGGGTTGGATTAATCATTTTAAAGTCAAAGGAGGAGTTTAGGCTGAATGAGACAGGTGACAGGGGGTTCCAGTAGGTTCCAGGGCAGGAGAATGACTTTTTGCAGGAGGATTACTCTGATACAAAGTTGAACCAGGGAGGGAGGGAGCAATGAGTAAAGGCAATGGAGCAAGGGTGGGGACAGACAGGAATGAAGGTCTCAACAGCCAACAAAAGCAATGGAAACGAAAGGAATGAATGTTTGCAAGAGATTTTCAGAAAAAAAAGCGGGACTTAATCACATCAAGCTTTTAAGTCCGGAGATGTGCAGAAGACCAGGTAGCTGGAGAGAATGGAAGAAGGGGAATGCGTCTAAGTTAGACCAGCTGTCTGCAATCCAACTGATTAAAAAAGCTAAGCACAGGAAAGCAAACTTGGTTCAACATCTACTAAAGTTAAGCTGTGGAGAATTACATAGCCCAGTGTCCTGTCTCCTTCAACCATGTGAAAAGCAAACACTCACAATTTTTTGTTGTTGGTGTTATTAAATCTAAGAACATCAGGAGATACGACTACTTGGATTCAAGGGCACTGAAGTTTGTCAAGTAGGATGCAAAAAGAGGGCCCTTCTTGCCCACCTCGCAGGGAGGGCTCATCATTTGAGAGGCAAGTATCAAGAACGAGACTCTGGAAACAAACTCCCCAGGTCTGAATTCTGCTGCCCTACTTAGGAGATGGAAAAACCTAGAGAAACATGGTTACCTAGGAGGAGGAACATACTGTGTTGCTGCTTTTTGGTTTGGAGAGGGAGGGAAATAGAGGTGTTGAAGAGGTATAAGTTTAAAATGCTGATTTAGACAGAAGGTAAGTCACCACATTGAGTTTCAGTTTCCCCAGCTGTTAATTAAAAAAAAAAAGAACAGCGGGGTGGTGGGGAGAATGAAATCCACCTTATTAGAAGTTTTAAAGGCTGCACATTCCTTCTGAAGTAACGTCTGATGTGCTATAAGCGTTATGTAAACGTTAGTTGTAAGTATTATCAATACAAAGAATAATGCTATTTTTTAACATATTAATATCGGCCAGACGCAGTGGCTCACGCGTGTAGTCCCAGCACTTTGGGAGACCAACGTAGGAGGATCACTTGAGTCCAGGAGTTCAAAACCTGCCCGGACAACAAAGTGAAATTCCGTCTCTACAAAAAAACTCCCCCAAAAACAACACAAAACAAAAAACGAGGCAGGCGTGGTGGCACGCCCCTGTGGTCCCAGATACTTGGGAGGCTGAGCTGGGAGGATCACTTGAGCCCCGGAAGTCCAGGCTGCAGTGAGCTGAGATCGAGCCACTGTACTCCAGTGTAGATGACAGAGTGAGACCCTGCCTCCAAAAAAAAAAAAAAACGTAAATAAACATACATCCTTTCTTTCTAACATTCTCCGAACGTTTTACTGCTATTAATAGTTTTTTTCCGATTCTCAAGAGGAACTGAGATCCAAAAAAGGCTCAGAACTGCAGTAGTGGAGGCCCAGGGCGACCAGGAGGCTGTGGGCCCAGCGCCAGGCCTTGCGCACCATCAAGGGCCAGCGAACAGATAACAACAGGCGACTTGCGCAGCGCGCCGGGTCAGTGCCACACGCTGTGACCGCGCTTCATGCACATCCCCCACTTTCATCCTTGCGACAGCCCTCTGAGGTAGGTACTTTCGTCGGCGCCACTTTTACAAAAGGGGAAACTGAGGATCCGGTGATCAAGCCCGGATCCTCACACGGCTCCCGAGACTGGGTTCCCAACCCCTGCGCATCGCGTGGACGGCGGGGGCGGGGAGGAGCGGGCGCCAGGAGACCCGGACCGATGGAGGCCTCGGGCTCGCGGGGGCGGCAGCCGGACTCACCTTGGCGCTGTGCACCGCCTCCTGCGCCCCGCGGAGCTGCAGCCAGATGCGCGCGGGCAGCGGCTCCTCAGCCCCCAGCGCGCCGAGCACGGCCAGGCTTACGCCGAACAGGCCCTCGATACGGCCGCGGCTCTGCTCCAGCAGCTCCGCCTTCTCGGCTGGCGCCGTGAACTCGTCCAGCACCGCCCGGGCCGCCATGGCGGGCGCGGCCTCCCGCGGCGGCGCCGGGGGCCTGCGGCGGCGACGCCCCCTCAGCTTGCTGCCGCCGCTCCCAAGCCCCTCAGGCGGCGTCGGCCTTCCCGGCCGCCTCGCTCCCGCCCGCGCCCCACCGCCCTCCTGCAAGCCTGGCTATACCATCCCGCCAAGATCGCCACAGCTTGGCAACTGCTGGCAGCGAACCCCTCAGCCCCTTCGCCACCGCCGCGGATCTGGCCGCTCCACCGCGCATGCGCCCCGCTCGCAGTCGTCATTGATGCTCGCCGCCCCCTAGGGGAAAGGGGTAGGGTGAGGGCGACGGAAGTTGACGTCACCCTCAGGTTCCATGCTGGTTGAGGGTAAAGGGAGGATTCTGGAGGCCTGGGCGGACTTCTTTGATGAGGGCAAAGCGCTTTCGCGGGATCTAGTGGATGCAGATGTACGGGATTATAGTTTGGGAAATTGAAACTAGAGCCAGGAAATGAGATTGAGAGTGTCACGCAGGGATTGGACTTGACCTTAGACATCTTGACGCTCAAACCAGGATTCTAGCAGTTGAGTTAATTCAGTTTCACATTAATCGACAGGCAGATGGGATCTTTCTTTTCTCTTTTTCTTCCCTCCCTCCCCCCGCTCTTACCTTCTTACCTGCCCTTCTCACTTTCTAATTTCTTTTCTCGGTAACAAGAAGAGAGGAAAATGGACATACTTATGAAAAATTAAAAAGCAAAAAAAAAAAAAAAAAACAATTTAAGATAAATTCAGGAGAGAGATTTATTCTATGAGGGAAGAAAAGGGATCTGTTATGGGAGAAGCCCCAAAAGTGGGAGTTACCTGGGATTGGGGCAAATAAACCCTAACCCCCTCCAGGTCTGTTTTCCGATCTGTAAAATAAAAGGTTACAATAAGGTTATCTCTAAGGCCTTTTCCAGGTTTTATACTCTCCGAGTCCATGAAAACAGATTGTGGAAGATAAAGTGTTGGATTCCTTTTCTTCAGCTACATATTGTGGCTGTAGTAGATAGGGGCTCCGGGAATATGACTTCTCTATGTCTTTTTTTTTTTTTTTTTTT